ATGAAGGGTAAAAATGACTTAGAACAACAAAAGATAGGAAATTGGGGAGAGCAATAATCGTGTACCTCCTGAAAAGACTTGGTACATAAAGGAATAAGTACTAAACTAGTTATTTCTTATTTAAAATCCTTTTCATATAATGCATTATCTTCTGTGGAAGATGAGGGGAAAACAGATCCATTATAAAGAACCAAATTTGAGTGATACTTGTAAAATTCTTTAAAAAAAATCCCACAATCACAGGTGTCCAACTGAATTATGCAGTCATTATCAAAGATGTTAAGCATAATGTTACATTCTTACCAAATCTTTTCATGCTATTTCCACCACTGACCAGATGTGAATGCTCTGAACACTGAAAACTGGACTAAAATTCCATCAACTGTGCAAAACTCTGCACATACTTTTTATTTTTACTAATACACTCAAAAAAATAAGCAATACAATCCAGAATTTCTGCCCAATAGCACCCACTCCTACCTAAAGAAACAAAATAAAAACTGGAGTTATGCTCCAGTTTTTATTTTGTTTATTGAAAGGACATAAAAGCTCATCAAAGGGACATTTTCAGCAGTTGGACTGCATCTTGCCCCCAGGTTCACAGACTTTCATCAGAAAGTGACCTTCCATCTCCAAGAGACAACTCACCAAGGGTCATCACCCCAGTAAGTCACAACTCATCCTCCCTCCCCTTCCGTACACCTCTGCAGATGCCTTTTACAACTCCGCTTATCTCTTTTTTCAATGAGTCATTTACACTCATTTATCATTTGTTGTATTTTTACATTAATACAGTTGTTTATTTTTTTAAACCACCATTGTTTCTTTGTTCTGTCAAAATGCACTTAATATAACAACAATAATAATTTTCAGTTTATGATTGAATTTCTTTGCTCAAAAATCCCTTTAGTAATGAACTCAAATTGGAGCATCTGCTTAGAAAAGACAAACATGAAGTGTAAGAGTTCAATGTATGAGTGGCTAAGTGTTTTATGGAATATAATGGAATAAAGATGCTAGTTCCTGCTTCGTAAACTTATCTTTATTCCCTGTGAACTGTGGATTTAATCTCTAGTTTTATGAAGCAGTGTCATTAAGAGAGAAAAAATAATAGCAGCCGATGTCCAAAATGACCTCTAGTCCGTTGTTAACTGGAGCAAAAGATAGCTTATTAATTTTAATGCCTTCAAAACCAAACTTCTCTCCATTAATCATCTGAGAGACCCAGCTTTGCCTTCCATCAGCGTAGCTGATGTTAACCTCCAGGAAAGTGACTCATTGCATCTTCTCAGGCTAATGTTCTTAGCTGATATAAAGTTGAAAGACCATATTGAACAGGTTGGCTAGGTCAGCTGCTAAGAAAGTTGGTTGTCTGTGTTGTGCAAAACAATTTTTCTCTCCAGAATCTATCTTATATGTCTGTAAGTCTATCATTCACCCATGCTTAGAATATTTCTGTCACATATGGTCTGGTGCCCCTGCTATTTACCTTGAGTTCCTTGATAAGATCCAAAGAAGAATCAGCAATATTATTGGTCCTGATCTGGCGGCTTGGCTTGAGTCACTTTCCCACTGCTGTAAGGTTGCCTCTCTCTGTCTATTCTATAAATACTTTCATGGTAATTGTTTGGATGAGCTCTTCACTATGGTACCTACACATTTTGAATTTAAGTGTGGTACTAGACTGGTGTTGAGATCTCATCAATTTACAGTTAAGCTGACTAGATGTAGCCATAAATTCTATGCTAACAGTTTTTCTTGCACTTTTTGTTTGTGGAACTTCCTTCCAGCTCCATGCTTTCCAACCAACTTTAATCTGCAAAAATTTAAATGCAATGTCAATTGCTATCTACTGTCCTCCTGATTACTCTTTCCTCTTCTTGCTCATTATTAATGTTTCTGTTCCTAATTCTTCTACACTCTATAACTCCTTGTGTTTTAGCAGCTTTACTGTCTTGCATGGGGTGATACCAATTAAAAAAGAAAAAAGTTATGAGTTCGAAAATCTCCAAGAAAGATGCTGCATAATATATATTTTGGAGTGATGGGATTTCAATTTATTAAGAAGTCTTTTTTTTTTCTAGACATTTTGATTTTTTAGAAAAATCATAATGTATAAAAAAAAAAAAAAATGAAATCTTAGAAAATGAAATGCTCATTTCTTTCTCATTTTATTTTTTCAAATTTTTTTATAATTGATAACATTTTCATTTTTTTTTCTCCTCTGGTAATTCTTATTTTTTCTTCTCTGTCATTCTGAAAAATGAATATTTCTTTGGATTATACAATTAGTCAGCTGACTGCAGTCGTGATCATAGTCATTGTAAACTCCATGATCTTTTCATTAGCTGCATAGTATGTGCTTTGCTATGGCTACATACAGTTTTTGAATTCAGAGTTGTCCTTCTAGACTGGGTGCCAACCAAGGCAAGTCTGCTGAAATTTACCCATAGTTGGAGGTTTTGAATTCAGAGCTGTCCTTCTCTGAGACTGGTTGCCACCCAGTCTGTCCTGCTAGTTACCCAAAGCTGCGGGGAGATGGATTCATACCTTTCCCAATGGTATTTGCACATAAGTGAATGTAACAAATTTGACTGGAATTCAAACTTAGCTCTTACTCAGTCCAAGCTGATATCAATTACTCCACTGTGCCACCAGTTAATACTTATTTTAATATTTTATGAGTTCATTTAAAACAGTATTTGGACAAAATTTAAAGAAGCTGTAATCAAAGTTTAAACGTATTTAGTCAATGAATGTTCATATGTTATAGTAGATATATTCTCTATAAAAAAGCAAAATGTCTTTAGTAACAAATTTATTTTGAAAGCCTGATGTTTTATAAAAAGTATTTGTGTATTTGGTTGGAAAAGTGTGCAGTTTTATTCCCTTTATGTAAATTCCTACTGTTTAGGCTTTATATTTCTTTCAGGTTTTTTGAATTTTATATAAGTAATGTCTGCCTTTGGTAGCAGCTAAAATATTCTGTGATTCTCTCTATAATCAACTCAAATGGTGCCAAAAATAAAAATGGTAAATTAAAAGTAGAGCATTTATTGTCCAAGGAAACAGACTTTGAAAAATATATATATATAAAAATGCAAAAACCTTGTGGATATAGTTGGAAACATAACTACATGACTACTGAATTTCTTTGTTAACCAATCAGATGCAAAATAAAAACTTCTTTCTCTAGAGTCTATTTACTGATCTATTCTGCTATAAAGTGGCCATTTCCAAGCAAATAAACTCAGTTGTCATTTGGTGAATCTATCCCACAGTCAAGCATCACAATAGTAGTTCAGAATATCTGCCAACATCAAAGGGAAAAAACAAACAAACATCTTATCATACAACTATTCTAATTCAACACACTGAAACACAATGATGTAAAATAGATTTACATTTGCTTTATTTATACATTCAACTCACAAACAGGTAATCCAAAGATAATCCTATTTCTTTTGGACACTTTGTAATATGAGGTTAAGTCAAAAATTATCTGTACTTTCACTATAACATATCTTGAAGTTTGTCACACTGCCTTTTGCTCATGTGTGCTTGTAGTTGGTACTATTGTGGTCATGGGATCAAAGTTTGTGCTTGAACACACCAGTTTTCTTGCTGCTGTTACAATGTAAACATGACCACTCTGCTAACAGTGTGCACAAAGGAGGAACAAAGAGCAGCGATATGAATCTGCAGAGAACATTCTACCTCATTGATGATAACTTTCTAGTTTGCCATTAGCATTATCTTGAGCTTACTGAATCTTTTCATCAGTGGTGGAGGTTGACAGGTGTCCTGCACCTTCTTTGTGCATCATGATTGTCGGACAACTTCTCTATCCACTCATACACACTTCTATGTATTAGTGCACTGTCGTTGTAATGTGTCAAAAGCTTCTAATGAATTTCAGACCCTGACACATATTCCAGCCAGAAAAATCAGAACACTGCTCTTTGTTCGTCCTTGGTGCAAACTGTTAGTGAAGCAGCTATGTTTACACTATAACAGTAAAAAGAAAACTGGTGTAATCAAGCTTAAATTTTGATCATGTGGTCAAAATAGTACTGACTATAAGCATGCATGTGCAGAAGGCAGTGTGACAGACCTAAAGATATTTTATGACAAAAGTGCGAATAATTTTTGATTTACCCTTGTACATGTAACAAATTGTCTTAACCTTAAAAAACCTTATCCAAATTTCAAAAACCAGACAATTTCACTTGAACTTTTCTATTTAATTCAAACATGCATGGCATTATTAACACACCGTTATATGTATGTATAATATTTTCATAAATCATAAATTTTTCAACTCATTTTATATTGTGTTTCATTCAAAAAAAAAAAACTTATTTGTTCTAAATTATAGAAAACTTTCTAGGTCCATATGTAAGGTAAAGAGTCATACACACATTTTAAAAATGAAATAATTGTTATCCATACACTGGTCATCTAACATTAAAATTTCCAGAACAATAAACTGTTATACACTTAACAAGAGCATCACCTCCCATGTTCATGATTTTGAGTCTGGAGCCCTCATGACCATCAAAAGGGAGCTCTAATCCAATCTTGTGTCCAATGAGGAATTCTACTGGAGGACCAGCCACCCAAGCATCCTCTGCATCATCACTCAGCATTGTGTTTTCTGGCTTGGTCATGTTCTGTGACAGCCTGATGACCACTCTAACAGAGTCATCTACCAGTTCAGATGTCGTTAACCAGGACCTCCTGCAGATTAATCTGGTGCTGGAGGATGTTCTGACACTCTGCCAAGACTATGAAAGCTGTAGGGACAAAATGGCTCTTATGTACTCAATGTCTTCATGGTATGAGATTTAACAGCAACAGGATACAGTGGTGGAACTTAAAATTTGTATGAATCAATTCTCTTTTTCTTCACATCTATAATTCTTGTCTATGGAAGCAAATAATTGTAATTATCATGCTTCAAATATTTCCATATTTTTTTCCTACAAAAATAAAGCTTATGGTCATATGGCATTGATACACTGGTTTTCGTTTGATCCCTGAAGTTAAGCAACAGTGAGCCTGGTTAGTAACCTAGATGGGTAACAGGTTGGGAATACTAGGTGCTGTAAGCTTGGATGTGCGGACTGTGTAATTAATAACATCTCAGAATTGGAAATTGGAAAGCCAAGTTTGGATTCTAGTCAAGTTCATTACATTCACTTATACACCAATGCCCTTGGGAAAGGTATGAATCCACCTCATCTCCTCTCCAGCTAGTATGGCTTATATTTGAAAATCATTATTAAATCAATTCCAAAAAATAATAGAATGGTTACTCACAAAAAAGAAAGAACTATTCTTACAGTATGTTTTGGCTTTAAATAACCTACAAAGGGTTGATAAGCCATAAAAAAAATCACTTAATCTACAAAAATAATATGTATAAAATAAGTGAAAACTAACAGTGTATAGTTTTAAAATTTTTATGTTGATACAAGGAAGTTGTACTAACCTAATTTAAGAAAACTGCTAATTTGGGCCAAAAGTTTGATCAGTCAATAATAGAGAAGAGTACATTTTCATTTTACATCAACTCAGGAACAAGTTCTGTGACACTTCATGGTGCCCTGAAGATTGTGTGAGATACAAAACTGACAGTTACCATAGAGTATTGATGTCTATGTTCACACTGTCTATATCTACCAACTCTCTGTCTTAGATATTGAGCATTCTAGCCCTATAAATTGAGTAAATTTTAGATTATATACCCTCCACCACACACATAATCAGAACTGTTTAGGGCATTTCAAGTTTGTTGTGATGATATAACCCAACTTCCCCATTCACGATAATGGACGGACTAGTTGCCGATTAAGTACGACCACAGCGGACAGTCGAAAGAAGTCTTCGTTTGTTAACACCTATTGAGGTTAGCATACTCCCGACTCTGTCTCTGTACTTGACACACCTACATCCGATTATAAACCTATTATTGAAAACCAACACTCGGGTTACTTTGTTTATTATATCTTGCACGAGATATAACAAAGTTTTACCATATTTATAGTTGACTTTCTTTAACAATTGACACTCAACTTCAACCATTACACGAAAATTCGAGAAAGTTCTGGCAAATATCAATTTGTCAATAATATTTACAAGATAAGTTTCTGAAAAAATATAAAAATAATTAAATGTCTATTTAAAGCTGCAATTGTGAGATTAATTATGTTGTTAGTTAATAAAATAAACTAATTTTTAGCGTCCTTTTACCAGGGGAAATAACCTTAAATTTGTTTTGCAGTTAACTCCCTTAGAAATAAAACTTTTTTTTTTCTTTGTAAAAATTTACTCAAATTTAGCTTTCTTTTCTTTGAAGTACTGGGAAAATGAATATCATCTATGGTCCTCCAAAGCTACTGTACTACTTACTCCCACAAGTTCCCTTTGTTTGTTAGTGTATAGTTTTAAAGTAGTTGTTGAAAACAATAGGATGAGAAAAAATTGGATAAGTTGATCTGTTTTGCAGTATACTAGTACATTTGGGTAGAAATAAGTCACCATTATGTTGCAGGTATAACTTCTTTGGTTGTGATGTGTACAGACATTTTATATTAATATTTTATTATTATTACTATTATTATTATTATATCCTATTTCAGAGGAATTTTATGGCTTTTCTTCCTTCCCATAATTCTCTCTTCCTGCAATATTTTTCTATAAAAGAAATTGCCACCTGTCATCACTTCTTTCCCTCCCCCAACCCAGGGGCGGACTGAGCCATCGGTCCAATCGGACCTGGTCCGAGGGCCTGGCACTGCAAGGGGGCCCGCCTGACTCGGGCCCCCTTGCATGTTTTCCTCATGGCCGTGCAGACTGCCGGACACAAGTATGGGCAGATCCGTGACTGTGCAAAAATGAAAATTTGGAGAAGAAAAAGTATCTTCGTTAGTAATCAAACTAAATTTGTGAAGAAAGAAAGAAAACAAAGAAAGTAAAAGAAAACGAAGAAATCTTACGAATGAACACAGTAAAAAAATGTCTCTGTTTTTTGTGACTGGTAAGTTCAAACCTGGTTCCCAGCTAGACTGCAAGGCATAGCTTTATCGGATCCTTTTTGATTTGCCGCAACTGCACCCCTTGCCTGGCCGAAAACACGCAATAAATTATTTTAATATTGTAAAAATATTCTGGTGACCATAAATCTGGCGCCTGTAGACTGTGGTACCAGTCAAGTCTTAGCAAACTCTCTCTCCCATCCCCGTCACTCCCAAAAGACACTAAAATTTTCATATGATATTTAGAATTTCCAAAGAAAGGACACCTTATAAATTCCTGTCTGTTGCCATTGCCAAGCATTTCAGTAAGTTAAAATATTGACTAATTATTTTGTTTACATCTGTAATTATGCTAATTTGTTACAGAAAAGAGAATGGAATGTCACTTACCTTGGGGTTGGGCCCCCAACTTACCTTGGGGTTGGGCCCCAACCCCAAGGTAAGTGACATTCCATTCTCTTTTCTTCCTTCATTCAAACTACATGAACTCTATTACCTTCTGTCTGCTTAACCTCACTCAATCAATGTCAAAGTTATTGAGCTGTAACAAATTTGTTAAGTTTGTAAATGATATAGAAATATATAGTAATACATAGAAATATACACAAATTAAGAATAAGTGTAATATATATATATATATTACAAATTTTATGCAATAAAAGAGGATTCTGGTAAAGATGTCAAAATTTACAGTGATCATAAGTTCAAAGTTATGTAATGTGGTTGATATTAATGACAGAAATTAAAATGCATAAACGTACAATGATAACAACAATAAAAAACTTGAGACACATGTTGACATAAATAGCAAGAATTTTTACTTTTTTTGTGTGATGTGAATTACAGAATATTGGCATGATGCATGTAAAAATGTTCTCAGTGTTGTGTTTGGTTTAAAAAGTCATTGCTTATTTGGTTTGATTCTGAGAATTTCGTTTGTGAGGATGTGTTTGAAATTGTCTGTTTTTGACCTTCCAGAGTACTGGCAGATGTGTGTTTCTACTGACTACTACTACTTGTCTACAGGTATACTGCTATAGGTACCCTAGTCTACTCTACTGTTCTCTACTCTACTGACTCTCTTGTGGTAGAAGGGTCATTTTTTTTATAATGATGAGGGTTAGGATGAAGAAATATCCTTCTTTTCTATCATCACTGATAAGGTTATTTTTAAAATGATGAAATATTATCATTCTAGACCATAACAGTTATTTAAAAATTTACAAATCATGAGGTTCCACATGATTTAAAAACATTTTTTGAACCAATCAGAAGTGAAATAAAAAATATTAACTTCGAGCTTTTAGTTTTCTCAAAATGCTACAAAAGCTGGTGATTTTCCTCACTCAAGGTCAAATCTTCAACTTGCTACCAAAACTTTCTAGACACTGCAACCAGAACTTCCTACAGCCTAAATTCAAACGTACTTAAACTTATGCTCTCTCACTCACTCACTATGAATGAACAATTCCCACCCCATATTCATCACACACTTGGTAATCACTGAAACTTAAGTTGTACAAAAATGTAAATAAATTAGTTTAATGTACATTATAGGCCAAAAGTTTGTAGCCACCCTCTGGATTTAATAATTAGAAAGTTTCATGCCTAATTTAGTTTAATTAACTCCTACTAAGCTAGGATATTGAAACTATTTAATCCCATGGTTCTGAAAGTGAGCTACACTTCCCACAGGAAATAAATTTGATTTTTAAGGGGGGCAATTTTGAGAATGAGTTATTAACAGTGAATTTTTTTCTAGTGAGTCTATGTGAGTATGAGTGTGTGTGTGTAAGTTAATACATATGGTGTATATATAGTATATATACATAAGATATTTGTGTTTATGTATGTATATGTATAATTATGTATGTACTGTATATAATATGTATATATTTTAGTAAATATTTTTATAAATATTGTAAAATTCTAAAAATAAATCATATTATTGCATATATGCAGTCTCAAGGTCTGAAGGAAAGTTAATGGCTTTTATTCCACTGAGCTTAGGATGGAAAGATGAGTTATATGAGACTGGCCGCTGCAAAGTTGAAGCAACACAAAGACAACACAAGATGTGATAAAATTAACAACTTATTATTCAAACTGCCACCAGATCCATCTTGCTTCCAGCATTCCATAATGGGACTGGAAGTGCTTATAATCATCATAATAATCAACATTATTGATGTTGTTATAACAACCTTTTAGGCTTCCTCCACATGAATAGGAGTTCACATTTTGAATAATAAAAATTATGTCATTGAAGGGAGGGGCATCAGGATGCTTAGTTGGGGCATGTCCCCAAAAAGTTGGGAACCTCTGTTTTAACCTATTAGAGCACTGCATCCAATTTTATTTAGAGAGGAGTTTGCCTAAAAGTTAAAATCAGCCCTAACATTATTGTTAGCTGACAAGGTAGATTAGACAAAGAGATGTATAATTTTAAGGAAGCTTTATGCAGTAATGGGTTAATTTTGTTATTATTATTGAATATATGATAAAAGCCTCTAGTAAGAAAAAATTCTCTCTAGCCTGAAGTGAGTTAGTGAATTATTTTTGCCAAAGGTATGTAACCATCAATTTTTAGGTGATTCTTTGAAACCCAGAGGGTTCCCCAACCTTTTGGCCTAGAGTATATATTTCAAATAGATATGTCCTCTTCTTTATTACAATTGTATTTTCTCTGTATTTTTCTGTTGATGAATTGTAATTTGACTTTGTCTAGCAGTTCATGGCTGAAATATATCACTTATACATAGACCATGTATTAACAGTTTAGCTACCATCATAGAGGCTTGTGTGAATGTGAGATTAGTTGGTACTTGGACTTTCATTCAGGAGAATTATTAAACTTATTGAAAGGTGAATAGGTACATTCACCATATCATTTCAGGAAGTAGTCCTAACCTGGCATCTTGGCTTCAGACATTTTCTCACAACCATAACATAGCTTCCCTGTACCTTTTCTATAAATACTTTCATGGTAATTGTCCTGATGAACTTTCTGCTATGGTACCTAAACTTTATGAATTTAATCACAGTACTAGATTGGTGACAAGGTCACTTCAT